CAACCTCCAGGGTGATCCCATAAGAGAGGAGTAGTACTCTGTCTTTGGCAAGGGCGGAGAAGCCAGGGGCAGGATCAACGCGGACGATCACCCCTCCGTCGCGAAGGGAACGGAGCTGAGAGCAGAGCATGATGATGGCATTGCGGAGGTCTTCGAGTTTTTCACTCGCGATGAAGGAAGACACGGTGTACGAAGACACTGTTTCCCTTAGAACCATGATCAGTTGACGATGACGCTTAGCGACATCAGCTGCAAATGATACGCCAATGGTAGGAGGAGCATCGGCAGATGACTGCGGGTGCAGGTGTTTAGGGATAGTCTTCAGAGATTGACAGGTGTGACAGCAGGAAGAGACAGTCTCAATTGCTTTGTCAAGGTCCAGAGCAAAGAAGTACCTGCTAAAAAGGCGCTTGGTTTGGTACCTGGAAGGATGACTGAAACGGATGTGAAGGGCTGTCAGGAGTCCATCAAGAACAGTGCGAGGGACAACAATGCGATCGCGAGGGGCTGGAAAGGCGGGTGGTCTTTGACAACGAGAAGACCATCAGTGGCGATGACGACGTCCTGAAGATAGCGTTTGACATCAATTATTTTGGTAGCCTTCTTTGAAGGTCGGGTACCTTGACTGAGGTGAGAATGGGTTCGCCGGAGGTGAGGGCATTCCAGCTGGGTAGCTTGCCATGCGGCGCGGCTGGTGAAGGGCATTCGAACAGAACCCTCTAGGACTTCGCTCACGGAGATGCTGCGCACAACAGAATCTTCCAACTCCGCAATAAAGCGACAAATCTGACAGCTGGAGTCTAAGCATTCTCTTGGGTGCCTGCTGGCGAAGTCTGAGGGAGGTTTTCAACACCTGCAATGTGGCGCACATGGACAGAATAGCGGCTGACTGTAGACAGGAAGGTGGTAACTCTGGAGCTGGCTGAGAACTCTCCTCTCCTAAGCTTATCGTAGGCTTGGACACAAGGCCTACTGTCCGTCAGAACTTCGGTTGTATGGGATGACTGGATAATGTAAGGGGCGAAGTGCTTGATGGAGGAAGCTATGGCCAGAGCTTCGATCTCACACGGTAGCCAGGTCACTTGATGCTTTCGCAGTTTCGCGCTGAAAAAAAACCAGCCAACAGCAGTTTACCGTTCCGGTGGGTGTAGAGTGTGGCTGCGACGCCTCTATTCTTCACAGAACCATCTGTCACGATCCACAAAGCGTCGCGGGGTTGGGGATTGTGATGGTCTTGTGGTTTTCAAGGCATGTTGGGCGGACTTGAAAGACAGGAGTAACTCATCGGACCACACTAGTCTTTCTCGAGATTCCTTTCCAGCGGTGGCCTGATCCAAGGGGTCCAGCAATTCAGCGAACTTAGGGAGTACTCGGCTGAGCACCTTGTATGCACCAACGAAAGATCGTAGGCCTTGAACAGTAGTAGGAGGGTCAACAGAGGATAATGCGGCTAACTTGTGGGGGCTAGCCTGTAGGGTGCCATTAGACCATACCCAACCCAACACGGTGGCCTTTCTGGGACAGATGAGTGTTTTGGGCGCGGAGAGACGAAGATTGTTGCGTTGAAGCAAGGAAAGAACGCGCCGCCAATTATGAAGGACATCTGTAGGGTTGCTCCCACCAACGTACAGGTCATCAGCAATTTTGGCAACACAACCCTCTTGAATTAGGTCACCCAGAACTCGAGACATTAGCTCCTCGAGGCATGTTTCCGACCCAGGCATGCCCATAGCAGAGCGGGTATAAACACGGATGCCTTTAAAGGGTGTGGCTACCCACAGTACTTCATGGAAGAGTGAGCCAGTGGAATTTGATAGAACGACTTTAACAAGTCCGAGATAACTATATACTCCCACTTCCCAATTTCACGCAGTACACCATCGACGTTAGGCATTAGAGAAGGCTGGGGCTTGCTATACTGGGCAACTTCGCCGAAGGATGTCACAAGTCTGCTACCCCCATTGGGTTTCTTAACAAGGAAGGAGGTATTCAAGTACTCAACGTGTACGTTCACCTGTTCAGGTCTGGCAAACACACCAGCCACTTCGAGCTCGTCAAATTTGGCTTGCAATTCCTCAAGGGTGCTTCTGTTGTACTGCGGGAGTCTGCCTTTACGCTGAGGGGGGAGTGTGGGACCAATGTTGACAACAGCTTCAATGGTACCGCTAGCGCCGTTATATTTCGAGATAGTGGGGTTGAAAACATCATCAAACTCCAGATTCAGTGCTCTGAACTTGTCGCGAATGTCCTCGTCTAAGCAGCCATCGGGGTCAAGGATCACATTAGTGGAGAAGGGCTGGCAGCAGGTAGGGGCAGTAGTGGCTGTAGAGGTAGGGGCAGATGTGGTGTCTATGCTGTCAACAGGTATAACATGCCTTACATGACACAGCTGCTCGCCGGTCCGAAGAAGTATAGGAGAGTCAGTCGTATTGGTTATGCGTACAGCGTGGTCCACAGAGAGGACTTGTTGAGGTGGGGGCCATGCTCCTTCTGCCTTGAGGGGGGTGTTGGATGGACAGGTGATTGAATGATGCTGACACGGAGTGCAGTAGGTGCAGTAGGTACATCACTGTGCTCTGGCGGGAGGGCATGATCGCAACACTCATCATAAGGGCCACAGTCGCCGGTCGCAAACTCATCAGGATCGTCGTTTATAAGACGTGAGCGGGCCAATGGTCTCCTGTCACGATCAGGCAGGTAACGGCACTCCATTAGATCATGGGTGTTGTGAGGGCGTCCAGCGGTTTTGCAGAGAATACAAGATACAAATGGACGGCGGCGTGGTTGGCCCTGTCCGCCATTAGAGGTGCGTCTGGGGTTGACATTGCTAATACGCATGGCTTTGGTGTCCTCTATGGAGCGTAGTTCATCAAGGAGGGAACTAAGAGCTTGTGAGATCTCTGGCTTGAGTGAGGCAAGGGTCTTGTTACGCAACTCAGAACCATACTTCTGCTTTACCAGTAATGGTAGGCCAGGGTGGATCAGCTGCAGCCACAGAACTACTATAGTGTTCTCAAGCGATGGGGAAAGATCTTCATCTGCGGTCACCTGCTCACCGTGGTGGGTTAAGCCACCATTAACTGCAAGGAGGTTGTCTTCGAAGAAGGCCATGAGGCGTTGGAATAAGTCCTCTGGTCGCTCAGCAGTTTGAAGGCTGATGCTTGCAAGGTCGAGGAAATGGGCTCCGGAGGACTGGAACCCAAAATGCTGGCGAATTTTCTGCCAAATGTCATTCAGAGAGGTAGAGTGCTTTACTATGGAGTTCCTGGAGATCACGGGGCAAAAATTGGCAATCTGTCCGAGCAGAAGATCCAGGTGGGCATTTTTCTGAGCGGCAGTAAGTCGTTGTGCCTCAGGTACAGACGTGCCATCATTCGTAAGGCCTCTTCGAGGGTTGGCGGCGGTTTGCTTTTGCCATGTGGCCTCTAAAAATGGGACAAAGTTCTTGTCCAGGGATAAGATGTAGACTAAGTTTTGCCTCCAACTTTCGTACGAGGTGATGGTCTCGTTTTTCGTAAGCTGCCATTGTTTAGGCGCCCTGGGAGCGGCGGCCATGTTGGTTTTCCTACACGAGCGGTTACGGCGAATTCACGTTGATTTGTTGATCTTCGCACTTCGTGAAAATAAGGGTCACAGGTTTCAGACGACCACACTTGTGTTAGGGTCCACCGTACGTGGGTAAAAGCCGCTGCCACCACGCCAATAAGGAACAAACTGTGTCTTAACGAAGGTTTATTGAAGACCGAACGAGAACCGCATGGAATTACAAAGAAGAGCCACGGGCGCATGCGCGCGCTAGATACCGCTGAAAGTAACGCAATAACAACGTAGTGGCGGTCACTTAAAAATTCTTTTCCTTCACATTATCTGACAGGTTTTTTTAGCTGCTCTGATGTGTACAATTCATCGCTACAATGTTTTGATTTTTCATTCATGCAGTCCAGGCGAGTCCGTTCGCGCGTTGACAGTTTTGATAGACGTGTGACATGTGAATAGCGGAAGTCCCTTGTCTTTTCCGGCTTGTTCTAGTCGGGGCGATTCAACGAGATTTTGTGGGCGTTTTTAATAAAACAATTATTCCACGTGCGCTTGTTGGATATGAGATGATTATAGCCAACTTGGCGCTACGCGCCTCGTTGGCTATCTATCATCTCATATCCAACGCGCCCTCGTGGAATAATTGTTAAAGAGACACTAATGGTAAGGCTACTAAGCCATTTGTTAGGTTTATATGTGATACACGTCCTCCATACTGCTAGGATCAGATATGATAAAATAGTACTGTATAATGATACAGAGACACTGATGGTAACGGTACTAAGACACCTACTAGATTCATATGTGACACGTCCTACATATTGCTAGGATCAGCCATAATAAAAGAGTACAGTATAATGATATGGAGACACTGATAGTAACCCTAATAAGAGTAGTATGTGAGTTGGCGGTTCGAGATCAGTCTTGCAAGACTGATCTCGTGCCAAGCCAACTCCATACTACTTGCCATCTAATGGCTAACTTTTATGGTTTCCACAAATTTATACAGACTATATGTTTTCCAAATTTGAAGTACGTTTAAATATTCTCATAATCAAATAAAACAGGAAAGAATCACCATAGCCTGACATTCTCAGCAAAACAGGAACTCAATGATGTAATGTAAAAGAGAATTTTCCCGAGGAAATGAGTCATCAGAATGTTCTAGAAGTCTATTGTATTTAATCACGACAAGATTGACCTGATACATATGGATCACCGAGGGTTCCGCAACTATTATTTGAAGAACCTCCAGAACCAAATCGAAAGAAACGATCGGCGGTTGAACTTGAGTGTGATGGTGCGGAGCTTATTTACCAAATGAAAGAAAATTACTTTAGAGGCGAGAGAGTTCATTTTGATGTTCCACGTGTATTACCAGAACGTGAAGTCTCCTTAGCTGTGTATGGAAACTATATCAAACATTGTGATGACTGCTTTAAGGCTGTCGAAAACTATGTTGTTCAGTATGCGTTTGCCTATGTTGCGTGGTTGAGTAAAGCGTTTCACAAGTTTCAAGAGGAGAAGAGAATGAAGTGAGTATTTGGTAGCTTCGACGATTGGGTTAATTCTCGTTGTAAAGTTAAACAGACACGAGCGCGACAACTTTTTTCTCCTTACAAGAAGGTATTGAGGTGTAAGTTGCCATTTTTATGGTTTGTAAAGCATCGTGACCCCATTGTGAAGTATATTAAAAATCATAGAGTGGCAGCACTACCGTGGACACATAAAAGACACTGTGAATGTGTTACTTGTTGAAAGTGATGAATGATGTTCTACTGAACAGGAACTCTCAACAAGTCACACTCATTGTGTTGCTTGATCTCAGCGCGGCTTTTGACACTGTCAATCACGATATTCTGTTGGAGAGACTTGACAAGGACATTGGAATGCGCGGTGTTACGCTCAACTGGTTTCGCTCATATCTCTCTAATCGAAGCCAACAAGTCTGTATTGATGGATCTCTGTCTAATCAACGTAGTGGTGTACCTCAGGGGTCCTGTTTAGGTCCTCTATTTTTTGTTATGTACACTTCTACGCTGTTCAAGGTTATCGAACGTCATCTCGCCGAGGCTCATTGTTAAGCGGATGATACCCAGCAATACGTGAGTTTCAAGCCCGATGATGCTAACGCCCAGGATGAGGCCATTCGCGCAGTGGAGGATTGTATTAAAGATATAAGGAACTGGCTTATTGAAGGACGTCTGTTACTCAATTATGATAAAACTGAATGTCTAGTTATTGTAACTCGTCAGCAGTTAAATAAATTAAATCCAACAGTACTTCATGTCGGTGATCATAAGATTGATCCTTCGGTCAACGTAAGGAATTTGGGAACGATATTTGACAATTCAATTAGTATGGATACTCATATAAATCAAGTTTGCAAGACCGCTTTTTACCATATTCACAATATTTGTAGAATTTCTAAATACCTTTCACAAGAATCCCTTAAAACATTAGTTCATGCTTTCGTTACGTCCAGAAAAGCCTACTTTATGGCCTTCCCAAATATCATATAAGTAAACTACATCGACTACAGAACGCTGCAGCCAGATTAAAAACCAACACTAGAAAGTATGACCATATCACACCAGCTTTATATAACCTTCACTGGCTACCTCTGTTTTACCGCATCTATTTTTGGACCGTCCTAAGGAGCGCATGTTATCTACATTAGGAGCTCGTTCATTTTATGCGGCTGCCCCGACACTGTGGAACAGCCCTCCAGCAAATGTTCGGGAAATAACATCACTCAGCATTTTTAAGAAAAACCTTAAGACACCTCTTTTTAATTTAGCTTTACAACGAGTAACTTTTCTTGGGGTGGTCAATTGTGTATTTTTTGCATTAGGTTTTATAGATATATTTCTTACAATTCACTATAGTTATTGTTTTTGTATATATATTTTTAAATTCATGTAAAGCGCTTTTGGTCATTTTAATGTTAAAAGGCGCTATATCAAGTGAATAAATTTTTATTAATTATTAGGTCTTAGGATATATGGCATTGTACCGGCCAACCTAATAATATTAATTCCTGAATAATTTGACGTCGACACAGCTGTGTCGCTCATTATATATATTCCAAGTATGGGTTTCAGTAATGTTAACCAAGAGGTCACGACACAGCTGTGTCGCTCATTATATATTCCAAGTATGGGTTTCAGTAATGTTAACCAAGAGGTCACGACACAGCTGTGTCGCTCATTATATATTCCAAGTATGGGTTTCAGTAATGTTAACCATGACGTCACGACACAGCTGTGTCGCTCATTATATATTCCAGTTATATTATAGTTTGTCTATAATTGTTTTGCTTTCGTTTTTTGAGAACGCCACAGCTGTGGCGTGACGTAATGACTTTTCCGTAATTTGCTTCGTTAATGTGTTAAAAAAATAATGTTTACTAATAATATTTAGAATGAGTTGTAAAGAGATTCATGATGAATACAAAAAAGAATATAGTGAATGCTCATTTTGTAATGAAAAACTAGAGGAATTCTCCACCTCGCAGACAAGCCCGTAAATCCGTCAATGTCTTCTGGTATGTACTGTAAGTTAACTGTGCACATTTCTATTTTCCTTTTATAACTCTTGATTTCACTGAATGTTTTGAACACTACACCCGCACCCGAAATCGTTCCTAACACAACAGGATTTAATGCAATACCGCCGGTGTTCGTACCAATAACGCCTAAAGATGTTGATCCAATGTTTATGGCTAAATTCAATCGCTTGAAATATTTGAAAGCCATTTTATAAGACCAGAACCTGTTATGAGATAATTTATACAATGCTTTGATTTCTGATAACTTTTCTTTGTTGATAGTAGGATCGATGTGGTTGAAATGAAAATGTCTTTTTTCTTTATCATATATAAAAGGTTTATATTTTTTAACCCTATAAAAGCTGTAATTTGACATAAACAGTACGCTTACGCCGTCACTTCGAACAATAACATAATATTACCGTTACTTACTGGGCCTTTTTTTGGTGGTCTTCATTTCTAAGCGCTATTCTTACTACATTTTCGAATCAGATAACTAAATTTGGGGAAATAACCTGATATGACCAATTCTTTCCTGTGTAACTGTATGCTCTTGAGTGTTGATCATGAGTAGCAGTATTAAGGCTGTCTATGATAAACCAAAATTGTCCGTAAACCCTAACTCTGAAGTGTGAAAATAGAGCTTTGCAAATTTGCATTTAAAAGAGGTTATTATAACGTCCGTTCCTCCAAAAAATACGTATTTGTCGTCACTATTTTTGAGATACTTGCCAGGAAAAGCAAGCATTGGTGGCTTTATGGAAGGGGAGTTGATAATTCTTCCCCAATTCAACAGGGGCACCCAACGTCAATTTTCGGAAAATATCTGTTCGGAAGACGATTGGAGATCTAGAATTTTCGGAACATTTGTTGTAAAATTTCTTGCTTGCCTGCCTCTCCTAGGATTTTCGAACATCTAAAAAATGGTATAATTGCCCATTTTTAACGGATTTTTACCCTAAAAAGGTCACCTAGAATTTTCGGGAGCCTTTTTTCTGGCTGAAATTTTCGAAAAGGTAAGTTTCGATCCTTATAATGTTCGGATCACTAGACTTTCAGCTAGGAAATCCGAACAGATGGAAAATTTTTAGGGGATAAAAATATGCCTATATCTATCGGATGTTTAACAATGCTAAATTTAAGTGATTTTGAACCATATTCTCGTTGGGTGCCCCTCATTCAAGTCCAAAGGTACATTCATTTTCATTTTTGTGGGTTTAATGTTGTAAGCGGTGGGATACTCCTAAATGTTTTCGGCGTCAATATCACTCACACTCCCGATTACACCATAATTGACGATGTAATTTTCTGTAAAATTTTGTGCATAAGTCTATAAATCGTTCCCATCTTGGGGGATATCGACTAGCAAATGAAGTTGATATAGTGGATCTGCCGCAGTTTTCCTAAAATTAACTATGGTCCTGTGGAAATACAAAAATTCCACATTGTTGCTTGAATTGATATATCTGCGAGAGAATTTTTTCATCGCTGCATTTCCAATAGTTTATCCTTCGGATGTTGCTTTGAAATCCTCGATTTATGCCAAAGTTGATAATCAACATTCAAGATTTCAATACACAAAGTGTAATCAATAATTTTTACTGAAGGAAAACATTGAATTTCCATTTTGTATTTGTAACCACCAAGACCATTTTTGTTAATCGTTGTGTAAATTCCTTTGTGATTATAATAGTGAAAATTTCTTTTATCTGGCGATAGACCACCAATCTTTACCATGTTAAAACTATTACCTCCTCGACCGACATCAGACCATTCCAACGTATAAATAATCAGACTGATTTGTTTTATGACTTGGTTCTATTTGTTTGTCCATGCATATTTTTTTTGTTCGTCGACGTATTTTTTGTGTCGCCTGACGCATACCAGTGGGATCCCGTAAATTATCGATGGTGTGATTATTCATGTTTAATTTTTCAATGGCTGTTTTTTGAACGTATTTCGTGTCGGCGAATCCCAAGTAGATGACATCGTTGGAATTTTGTATGTTGAGACCTAAATTTGTAATTTGTTTGTTGTTCACGTCAACATCACCTGTCATACTCTGAGAACCATCTCTTTTCAAATAATTATCAAGATCTCTTTAATCAGCTTTGTAAAGAATGTCTCATTACATTTTGTACAATACGCTTGTCTACTTTGCTGTCTAATTTGTCATCCACACATTTTTTATTAACAGCTTCATCATCGCTTTTTGGCTCCTTAACATTGTAAATAAACTGATTTTCCATATCCAAATTAGTTGCCACTGGGAAAGAGTCATGGAGACTAACAAAGTTTACACGGCATTCCTCTATACCTGTTTTAGTGTTCTTCCACATGAGGAGGAATTTTATCGCGAAGGTCTTTCTGTGTTTTCCCCTTTTCCTTTGCAGTTCTTCTTAAACTATGAAGTCAAGCATTGAAATTCAAGGACATCCCAGCGCCGACTGCAATTTTCAAGGACTTTCAAGGTGCATGCGAACCCTGTCATTACAACTTAGGTACCATCTTATACTCAAATTCGTTTTTCTAAGTACTGCGCTTAGGTTGAATGCGATATTTGTACTTTTTTTTGGTGTGACTACTGTGACTTTTGTTGGGTAAAGACATGAATGTTAAAACAATACCTGCAATTTTCGTGAGAAGTTCATGGCAAGCTCTGTATTCCTCCTCTTTGATAGTTGTCGTGAGTTTAACTTCAGCTAGACCAAGTTCCTCGAGAATTTCCTCTGTCACAAGGAATCTCTGTGCCATTTCATTAAGGCAACCTGCGATGTAGTCTTTCCACAATCCTTCAAGGATTTCAAGAGAGCCACATTCTATAGTGACTATCAAACTTCCAGTACCAACATCTACAATAACAGCTTTACGCATCCTTTCCATATAATGAAGAAACCCGTTAAACTCTTCCGGTGTTGATGGATCAAGTTTCCGTAAGTACTTTGACGAAATTAAACTCAGAACGTCCTGTGGGGAGGGAATAGCTCCACTTTCGACATCTTCCCGCCGAGAACCAGAGGAAACCTCCTCTCGAGGTGTTCCTGAAGAGCCAGATACTACTGCTACCCTCTGGACATCTTCCTGAGATTCAACAAGGGCCGACACCACCGAAGTCCTTTCCTTTGGTGGACCTGCTGTGGCAACAGTTTGCCTTTGACCTGAGGTGAACGATAAACACGCGGTTTCCTGGGCTTTCATCCTTGTGGGTCCACCTTGAGGACCAAGACCAACAATTTCTTTACAGTCAATCGACAGTCGAAGGCGAGCTGTTAATAAATAAAACTGTTGAAATTACATTTGCCATTCCTGTTTATGTCACTAACCAAGCACTCTAATTATACTTAACACGTCTTTCTAATTTGGAGATTAAGCAATAACACTAGCCTGTTCACAGATGCTTCCTCCCATCAGATAAAACGTGATGCAGTACATACATTTATCTCAACCTCGTTCCCAGGGTTCTCTCTCTTGCTTCGGAGATGCGATGTGTATATATATGTATGTAACGCCATATGTATGTAATATTCCATATGTATGTAAGGCCACACATGTGATTCACTGCCAAGTACAGTCGAATCCCAGTAACAAGTTAACAACGCGTCAGTTAAAATAAATGCCTGGATTGGAACACCAACATGGCCGCCATTTCATTGTTTTGGAACAACAATGGCCGCCATGTCATCGTGTGAAAACGCTCTATTTATACATGTAGTCCATCGTCTCTGTTCATTTGCATTTGATTTCAAGACACAACCTATAATACTCGTGATATTTTCCACTTATCCATGTTGGATTTCGCGAGTTGGCACCACAGAAGGAAAAAAATTCAACACTGGAAGGGAAGAAGGAAGAAGGAGCACAGCTATATGTCGCAATATGGGTGCTGCAAGGGATGTCCCAAATTAATGTGACATGTATTGTAGGTTTCTAATAAACACAGCAGCTGTTAGCCGGGTCTCAACTGGAACTACATCTCAGTTATAAAACAATATTATTTATCATAAAAGGAAATTGTTGCCGCCAATTTTTCTCACTTTTCAGGACAAAATACGTCAGTAAATGTCAATATCATATTTTGTTTACGTCTTTTCAGTTTTCCGGTTAACTTTCTATTTTTTCCTCTAGATTATGTCATGAAGTAAACTCAGTTTCACAAATAGCAATCATGCTGAAAATCAGCCTTAATCATACCGTGAGTCCAGCTCATCATCTTCTTAATAAGATCTTTCAACTGCTTTCCCCAGTCGTATTTCCTGCCATAACTAAAACGCAAGGCTTCCGCTTCCTCTAGTCGGCTTTTTCTGTCCTTAGCCCAGATTTTCTTTATCGCTGAGGTCCAGTCTCCAGGGTCCTCCGAATTAATCACAAATATTGAACCAAATGGTACACTGCACAGAGCTTCTCCAAAACCTGAGTTCTGACTGACAAGCACGGGAAGACCAGCTGACAAGGCCTCAAGTCCTGTCAACCCAAAACCTTCTGTCCTTGAAGGCATAACTACAAGATCAACTTCTTGAAATAAGCGCCTCAAACTCTCTCGCTCGTGAACAAATCCTCTTACTCTCAAGCGGCTTGCAGGAAGACCATATTCGGTTAACCGTTCAGCAATTTCTTCATGTTTTCCATCTGGAGCTCCAACAAACACAAGACGAGTATCTTGTAATGCAGCAACCGCTTTCCCAGCGATGTCAAATCCCTTTAATTTAAAATCTTCTTCGTCACCACGCCCAAAAACCAAGACACTGAATTGGTGCCTTTCGCTAGGAACCTGCCTCACGGTCTCAAACGCTTCAAATACTCCAGGAGTGAGGTCAAGAACATCATCATCTTTTTGACAGCCACGAAGATAGGAGCGAAAGGCCTCGCTCAACTTGGGTCCAACTCCTACAACAAGATCAGCCATTTCACAAAGTTCTACTTCGGTCTTGTGCTTTTCTTCACCCTTTGAGATTGGGTTGGAATAGTTTTTAAACATCCCAAGTTCCTCAGGGTCTGAGTGTACTACTTGAACCCATTTGCAGTCTTTAAGGTCTTTAATGACTTGTGCTTGTTTACCGAGTTTAACTCCATTGCCAAAAATAATGTCGATTTGCAAATCTTTAGGCGGAAAGCAAAGCCAATCCAGTTGATCAAAGCCAGGCCGTGGCTTTGCCTCCACGATTTTTACATTATGTTCCAGGGCAATTCTCCTGTCCTCTTGACTGCATTGTGGTAAAAAGAAAGTGATTTCCACTTCAGGGCATTTTGCTAACTGAATGGCTAATTCTCTGCTTATTGTAGAAAGCCCTCCTTTGCTTGATCCCCATTCAGAAGCCAAAATGGCGACTTGCACTTTGCGAGTTCCATACACTCGGTCATCATCTACGAGTGTTTGAGTTATCTGTAAAGCAGATGCCATTGCCTAATATCAAAGTTGTCAAATATCTGTAATTAAACATTAAACATGGTAAGTCATATGTTAGCAGATGTATTGAGATAATCATGAAGCGTGTTTCCAAGGTTGGTAATGCCAAGAAGTCTTGGAAACGATCAACTTGCTCAGCGTTGCTACACACGTTGTCGAGAGAGCAACAAAAACATCCCTTAATTACACGTAAAAACATCTTAGAGGTGAGAAATCTAGTTAACGGCACAGATAGTAATAAAGTTGATTGCTTGAAAGTTGCTCAGTGTAAAATATAATCTGGCTTTTTTACAGACGAATATGTCACTCGCTTCACACGCTTTACATATTAAGAGGGAATTCAGATTAACAGCTTTGTTTTTCTTTAATTCTGCCCCTTTTCTTTCAAATCTAGCCAACATTTCATTCAATCAAAAAATGGCTCCATAAGGTCGTGGTCATTGCTAAAAAAAAAAGTGTATGAGAGTTGTTCCATGACCCTTTTTAATGTTTTAAATGAATAAAAGTTGGAGGGATGTTTAAACTTGTGGAAAACAGGGATACAGTGGATTAAGGGGTTGTGAAAGTCAAAATAGCTAGGGAATAGTTAGTAGACAAATACCACTGAGATAGTCCACAACCAAAACAAGGTGCCTCTGAACCAACTTCTATCCTGCTCAAATGTACCCCAATTCCCCCAAAAACCGTGAACCAGAATGCCCCCTCATATCCCTAAAGATACCAGCTGCCTCAAAAGTATCATTCCAACCTTGATTTATGCATAGCTGTGAAAGTTGGAATGCGATTTTCGAACAGTTGTTGTAACCTTACAAAATACAAAACAACAAATATAAACACTGAGCAACAAAATGTCTGAATGGCAGATACAATCCTGGCCAAAAGGTTTTGAGACACCTCCCCTTTTTCACGTGTTTTTGAATGTAATTTGCAGCGAACCGGCAACACAAAGTCATAAAAACGGCCTTAACAAGATTTTTTACCCACCCCCCTCAACAATTAACGTGTAACACCCAACACTGTCCACGGGGGAGGGGAGTCAACTTGAATTGCATTTTCCTCACCTGATACTATAGTGTCCCAAACGGTTTGACCAGGATTGTAGAACACTGGAGCAGAGTCTCTCCAGAGATCCCTAGAACTGTAGAGTTTTAAAATGGTTCATCAATCTTAATAATAACCCCGAAAACTAAGTTAAACAGAGGAATACAATTTTAGTTCCTAATTACACTGTTAGCAGTGTCAGCATGTTGTTGCCCAGGCCGAAATTATTTATTGCACTCTTAAACTGCCTGGGGGTCAAGTCAAAAACCTAATACAAACTACATGTACACATCAGCTACCTGGCTTTTTTGGTTCCTTTTTCCACTTTTCAAATGGCTTCTTTGCAGTCTTGTTAACGTTGCCCAATAATATTTTTTCTTCTTTTTCTGGCATATTTCGTTATCTTATGACAACCAGCAACCTGTGTAAAAATCATCATAAAACGCATGTTGATTTCCGATTTTCTGAGGGAAAACTTTTCTCACTAACACCTACAAATAATATAAATACCGCTTATTAGCTCCCTTTCTGTAAATCACAGACCAAGTTTTTTTCCCATCGATTTATAGCCCAGGGCCGGGTTGTTCAAAGCTGGATTAAGATAACCCAGGGTTAGTGCGAAATTTGAATTCAGATATGAAAGCTTAAAAAGCAAATTCAGTTTAACTCTTTTTGTGTACAATTTGATGATTGACTACTCTAAAAAGATTAGAGAAAATTGTCCAAGAAAATGTCTTTGATGATAATATAAGAAAAAGAGACCAGGGTTAAAATTTAACAGTGCGTTAGGGCTAATCGGCCTTCTAACAACTGGTCCCAGGTGCTAAGCCCGCGGGTCATAAAACGATGGGAAGATAAAGAGGATCCATACTTTAAAGTACGGACAGAGAAATAGAGGCTAAAATATGACGTGTAATATATCGCTTCCTGTTTGGGAGACCGGAAACAAGTGCAGGACAAGCGATTTGACAGTCACTTGGCAGGTGACACGAAAAGAAAGTTTTCATTAGCTCACGAAAACAATTACACATCATAAAGACTTTAGATTGAAAGTGAAATCAAAATGCAAATGCATTATGTTGAAAGATTTGTTCGCAGAAAACTAAGAGCACTTTTATTGTTAGCTCGCCAATGTAACGATAGAGTTTTTTGAAAACTGAAAGTGGACACTGTGTCTGGCTCGCAGTCCATCCTCATTCTTTCGTTTGTCTTTGAAAAAAGAATAGATAATGCCAATGGCAAAGAAGCTTTTCAAAGTAAGTTCGTCATCATTGTCGACAGAATCACTTTTTTACTTAGCAAAACGGCTGGAATCTCTACCAGTCCATTCTCGTCTTCTTGACTGTGACGTCCTATGATAAAATCTTCGATCACTTCGCCGACCAGGATATTCTTCTTCGTTCAGATTACAAGTCAGTTTCTTCATCAGCTTCGTTCTCAAAATACGTAGAGGTCGAAATTTGGCAGAACGAATACAAAATGAGCATTTGACATTGCTACAAATACAAAAGACTTTATTGATTCTCCAACAAAGGGCTTATCAGAATCAATTTACAACTATTATAATTACAATAAGACTATTAAAATTACAATAAGGTATAAAAATTTACATGAAGAGATAAGAAATAAAGATAACTAGCTAAAATGCTGTCAATACTTAATATTCACCCTCGAGCCACTTTTCCAGTAAAAATGCTGAGTGAAGATTTAAACTGGAAAAGGGAGGGCAAGTTTGACACTGAACATTACGTGTAAGCCTGTTGGGAATGTCACATCTTTACAACTAATTGCTGTAGGTATGACGGAGCTAGGCCATTAATAGATTTTTACAATAAGACAGCATCCCTGAAATTGAGAAGAACTGACACTGGCAAGAATCTAAGTTGTTTGAGTGTGGGAGTTATGTGCTCAAATTTCCTTTTACCAGATAAAGTTTGAACTAATTGAAGCCAGACAATGTTTCCGTTGCTTGCCCCTACCCAAATTGAAGACCAAAACAATAATTTGCTGAAAACACTCGCATTTACAGTAAGCATTAAGGAGGGGAGGTCCAACACGTGGCGAATTCTACTGATGGCGCAGAGCTTTCCAAAAAGGTCTAAGACTAATGCAATTGTATATTGTAGCTAAACGAAAGGTGCTTATTGATTAACCACATCCAGGTCTTTAACTGTATCTACTGGGGCAAGATCTTTACATAGGAAAACAAAAAAAGGGTACCGGCGTTCTTGGCAGCATTTTTGAGGTGCCAAAAACACAGAACTTCGTTTTATCCGGATTTACGGACAGATGGTTAGCGCAGCACCATAAAGCTACGCGTTGCATATCACGTTGAAGAGCCTCGAGACCGGCATCAATATCTTTGTTAGAAAATTAATGCTAAGAAGAGCTTAGAATAATCCATCATTGCTGGTGGTGCTGACAGACGGGGGATCATTTTTGTACAAATTAAATAACCATGGGCCAAGGAAGGAGCCCTGCGGCACTCCATGCATGACGTTTGGTAGACATAACAGTTTGTTACTAGTGCTACAATAAGTTATGGACCACAAAGTGACAAATCGTAGAGCGGAGACAGACTTAGACAAATAATGAGTGTAAATGTCTAAAAAGCGTATATGCTGTGTTGCCTCGGCTTGATAAGAAACGAGCAACAATGTGAAAAACTTACATGTTTGTTCCTATTAATAACTAATAGCTACATTAATATATAGATTTAGCCAGACCTAAAAGCGAAGCAACCACGAAGACGACCACCACAAAAACGTCAAAAAACAATACGTTTTATGAGCAAAACAACAGCTCTGCGTGTGCATCACGATTCTTAGTACGACTATAATTTTAAAAGTTAACTGAAATGACAAAGTCTCTTTACTGATGCCGGCAAACAAATTTCTAAATGGTTTCAGTTTTTACAGACATGAATTCACCTTTCAACATTTTGACCAGTCTGATCCCGGAGTGTGACCAAAACCGTGACATAGAAAAAGCAACTGCATGCATTAACAAATTATAATTTTCGAAAGTGTTTGTCAAACACAAAAAAATTCAATCTAGCTTTTTACTGTAGTAACTCCATTGGTTGCACCATGAGGTGGCTTGATTGGATGATTCAGGGTCAATACGTCCCAAGTTTGAGCATTAACTACGTCCCCATTAACATTAAATAAAGATATGGAAAAACGATTCTCACAGACAAGGATGAAAATTGTCATGAAAAAAGTTATGTTGACTTCAGGCTTGTTATGGCAACAAAATAACGTCACCATTTACTTAACTTGCAGTCATATTTCTCGGCACTGGGAGTTTTTTTACACAATCACTCTCGATCGCTTGTTCCTTCAATACATGCCGCAATGTTCGTGAAGTTTGAGCAAGATCCATGAAAGCGTTCTCGAGACACTTGGGATGACGTTTTCACCGAAGCACTGTTTAAAAAACGAGCAGGAGTGTATTGTCAGTTTTAAAAAATCGAGGCGAAGCCGACAGATTTTAAACCTAATAATTCACGACTGCAGGTTTTTTGGAACGGCTTCAAAATCTCTGCCGTAGATCAACTCATTCTTGCACTAATATTTAGATTTGGGGTTATTTAGGTCTAAGTAATTGGAGGTAAAGTTTAGCTGTGTCTTCATCAGATATAAAGACACTCATTAAACGTTAATTTAATTCTTTTGCTTTTTCTTTATGAATTATTAATGCGTTTTTGAAGGTTAGAAATATCACAAAAACTGGACAATCTTGACGTTCGGCCCAGACAGTGTTCGGCTGAACTTTAAAAGATCATGGGGATAAATTTTAGCTTTAACCGATGCCAGAAAAAAGGATTTGATTAAGTATATGAGTAAGAAGAACCCTGGCAAGGAGGTTACCTTTATGCAACATACTCTTGAATGTTCAGTGATATTGCAACGAATGACAAATATGGGTTGAAACAATTAAGAGCACAAGGAAAGCGCCAAGCTGAAATCACTGGGCACTTCAAATCTGGGACAGTCATTATCCAAGGGTACATCTATTTAACATTATTCGTTATGAATAACTATTTATTTGGGCGTGGCCCAAATAGAGTAATGGAAACGGCTCGTTTTGACGCAAATGTGCAATAGGCACGCAATAGGTGCTACAGTAAACAAGGCAAGTAAACAAGCGAAGCAAGGCTAATATCTGCCATGCGAACGTCTTGTACAAGGTAAGAGGCATGTGGGAAAGAAAGCTCTGCTAGCACACGGCACTTTATCGCACTTTTACGACCTCAAAAGTTAATCTGAATCTACAGTATTTTTGCCTCATCGAAATTGAAGTCCAGGGATGAAATCTATCAAAAATATTTGGAATATTAACGTCGGGTTTTGGTCACAATAAGATCACAACCAACGAACCTTGAAACACAGAAACTCACAAAACGGATCGAAATCCACCAATCACAAATCACAAACAATGACCTTTTGAACCCGTTGAAGTAAACTTTCGTTTCCTAAGAGGTCCACTGAGGTGATTGGCGTCTGACATTTTTTTGACGAGAGGATCGAAATGCACCAATCATAGAAAGACAGTTTTAATTGCATGTTTCCTAAGAGATCATCTCAATTTGCTGTTTACTTTATTTTATGTCCATTTTCTATTCCTTATTTTGTGATTGGTCGATTTTGTTCGGTCGAGTGGATGATCCAATGAGGGACGATTTGGATATCGTTTGATCCGAAATTTTTCGAAGCAAAAGTAAGAAGCAGTTTGGATAACATTTGGCCGCGGCGTTTCGAGGAACGTGTTAATATATTGTTCAATTATGTTATACCAGGTTAAACTTACAAATGCACACACTGTTCACGGTAGGCCCACACTAAAAAATAACACGGAGTGTTTTCGGAATGGGCTGGTCCGCGAACTCAAAGAAACACAAAGGAAATTATGAAGACATTCAATGACTTCAAAGACTCATGGACCCTATAGACGCAATGACAAATCGGAATATCAGGAGTGTACGTGTAAAATGGATGAGTTTGAACAGAGGAATGTTTAACAAGTTTGAGAGTCGCAAGATTTGTGTAGCTGGTTATCAGTGTGACAATAGTGATTTTGACTTTTGCATTGCGGAACACAACGAGTTGCCTGTGATAAAAATCTGTTCCGATGAAGGAAGAGACTATTGTCAGCAATTGAAACCAAAAGGGCCTGAGGCTTCTTTTGAAACTACTGTAATAACTGCAACAATTCTTTTTATTATTTCAATTTTGTTTAGCAGGGTGACGGTTAATGTACTTGTTTTTGTATTTCGTGTTGTGTTTTTTCATCTACTTGTGTATATTTTGACGCGGTACATGTACGATGCTATGCGTCGGGAGTTTGCATTATCAGCAAGTTTTGTGTTAGAGTGTTGATGGCAGCGAGATAAGGTAATGAGCTAGTTGTACAGAAGGAAAATTGTGTCGTGGAGGAAATAAAAGAAGTTGAATTGAGATCTCGCACTGAACTACAACTCATTCATTTTAACGATGGCAATTATTGGTGTTGGTATCTACAGCATTGAGGCTGAGGGATATAATGTATTTGATTCTCATGCTAGAGATATGTATCATAACAGTCATAGTGAAGGGACGTGTATTGTTGGAGATACCATCCATGCATAAATTAGTACAATATTTTCCGACTCTACATATGCAGTTTAATCCTCATCCAGATATGAACCTCCTTGGAGAGTCCGGGTCATAGTTTATTGCTACATATTGCGACCTTTGAACCTCATTTTTTCTCAAGCAATGTTGAACATTGTAGTATATCAAATGTTAATAGTTACCAATGTTCCTGTAAACAGTGCTGCCCTATAGCAGTTTATGCAATGTGTTATTCTCTTATTAATCCTTGTGCATACTGGACTTAAAGGGACTGGTTCACGATAATGCGCATGTGTGAGTTCTGACAGTAGCTGATTGTTTTTCAACTAATCGGAAGCGCGTTAGATGCACGCACGTAAATTTACAAAATTCAAATTAATTGTTTGCGACGCGAGAGTATTTCCGGGCATTTGGTTTGATTTTATTTATCCCCATAATTCAAGTTTATTCTTTGCTACTCCTCAGATATATTGTTGCAGCCGATAAGAATAAGATTTACACCCCTGTCCTGCTTTGAAACAAACATTTACCAACGTGTATTTTTACGAGGTCGTACCCACGCTAACAAAACAGTCACCGATCGGCAAAATTTGTAAACAAACATCTTATTACTGTTCTCTTAGTTCGCCTTATATAAACCCAGAAATACCTACAAATAGCGCCTGACCGCTGACAAAAACACACAACGTATGAGTATAAAGATTATCCTTAATTGAGCATAAATTTCAATTGCTTATCAGCAAATGAACAAATTCATTCGCGTTGCATCGGGTCAGTGTTCCGCAAAACAAATGTTATCGAGTAGCACACATAAAGAAACTAGATTATAAACAGAATATTCAGGCAATAATTTATTTTTAAAACATCAATTCTTAAACATATACGATCGTAAAGCAAATATACAAGGAACATTTCAAGCGTACCAGATCGGTGAAGATCGCGCGGCCTGTTGCGGTATAACTACAGGTCGGAGTCAAAAATCAAATCAAAGTTGAACGAACTCATGCCTTTAACCACTTTCCAAGTGTCGTGTATTCTTTTCGTATGCCACACACTACTCCTAGAACCATAACAGATCGATAGGCTAAGCTTCTCTATCTCCAGAGACTCTTGAGAACGTCCTGTTGCCGGACGGCCACGATGCTCTTCTGAACCTCCATGATCAAAACATTATTTTTTGCGTCTTCTTAAAACGTAACCAGTCAAACGACACAACCACACGTTAATCACCACTACCAAAGTATAATAGACCAGCCAAAGCGACGGATGTCCGAATAAAACGAAGGATTTTCAATGATTGTACCGGTAATGGCGATTTCGGATTTAGTGTTGACCCGACAAATTTATTCTGAAGAGACAAACGGCGCGCATGCGCATTATCGTGAACCAGTCCCTTTAAGGAACTGTATTTGCCCTTGTTAGTAACCGAAATACACTGTACAATGTGATGGGTGTGAAAACACATCTGTCAGTCAGTCTTCCACAAAGTGTCAGTATCAGTCGAGCTTACACAATCACTCTCGGCCGCTTGTTCCTTCAATACATGCCGCAATGTTCGTGAAGCTTGAGCAAGATCCATGAAAGCGTTCTCGAGGCATTTGGGATGACGTTTTCACCGAAGCACTGTTTAAAAAACGAGCAGGAGTGTATTGTCAGTTCTAAAAAATCGAGGCGAAGCCGACAGATTTTAAACCTAATAATTCACGACTGCAGGTTTTTTGGAACGGCTTCAAAATCTCTGCCGTAGATCAACTCATTCTTGCACTAATATTTAGATTTGGGGTTATTTAGGTCTAAGTAATTGGAGGTAAAGTTTAGCTGTGTCTTCATCAGATATAAAGACACTCATTAAACATTAATTTAATTCTTATGCTTTTTCTTTATGAATTATTAATGCGTTTTTGAAGGTTAGAAATATCACAAAAACTGGACAATCTTGACGTTCGGCCCAGACAGTGTTCGGCTGAACTTTAAAAGATCATGGGGATAAATTTTAGCTTTAACCGATGCCAGAAAAAAGGATTTGATTAAGTATATGAGTAAGAAGAACCCTGGCAAGGAGGTTACCTTTATGCAACATACCCTTGAATGTTCAGTGATATTGCAACGAATGACAAATATGGGTTGAAACAATTAAGAGCACAAGGAAAGCGCCAAGCTGAAATCACTGGGCACTTCAAATCTGGGACAGTCATTATCCAAGGGTACATCTATTTAACATTATTCGTTATGAATAACTATTTCTTTGGGCGTGGCCCAAATAGAATAATGGAAACGGCTTGTTTTGACGCAAATGTCCAATAGGCACGCAATACGTGTTACAGTAAACAAGGCAAGTAAACAAGCGAAGCAAGGCTAATATCTGCCATGCGAACGTCTTGTACAAGGTAAGAGGCATGTGGGAAAGAAAGCTCTGCTAGCACACGGCACTTTATCGCACTTTTACGACCTCAAAAGTTAATCTGAATCTACAGTATTTTTGCCTCATCGAAATTGAAGTCCAGGGATGAAATCTATCAAAAATATTTGGAATATTAACGTCGGGTTTTGGTCACAATAAGATCACAACCAACGAACCTTGAAACACAGAAACTCACAAAACGGATCGAAATCCACCAATCACAAATCACAAACAATGACCTTTTGAACCCGTTGAAGTAAACTTTCGTTTCCTAAGAGGTCCACTGAGGTGATTGGCGTCTGACATTTTTTTTTGACGAGAGGATCGAAATGCACCAATCATAGAAAGACAGTTTTAATTGCATGTTTCCTAAGAGATCATCTCAATTTGCTGTTTACTTTATTTTATGTCCATTTTCTATTCCTTATTTTGTGATTGGTCGATTTTGTTCGGTCGAGTGGATGATCCAATGAGGGACGATTTGGATATCGTTTGATCCGAAATTTTTCGAAGCAAAAGTAAGAAGCAGTTTGGATAACATTTGGCCGCGGCGTTTCGAGGAACGTGTTAATATATTGTTCAATTATGTTATACCAGGTTAAACTTACAAATGCACACACTGTTCACGGTAGGCCCACACTAAAAAATAACACGGAGTGTTTTCGGAATGGGCTGGTCCGCGAACTCAAAGAAACACAAAGGAAATTATGAAGACATTCAATGACTTCAAAGACTCATGGACCCTATAGACGCAATGACAAATCGGAATATCAGGAGTGTACGTGTAAAATGGATGAGTTTGAACAGAGGAATGTTTAACAAGTTTGAGAGTCGCAAGATTTGTGTAGCTGGTTATCAGTGTGACAATAGTGATTTTGACTTTTGCATTGCGGAACACAACGAGTTGCCTGTGATAAAAATCTGTTCCGATGAAGGAAGAGACTATTGTCAGCAATTGAAACCAAAAGGGCCTGAGGCTTCTTTTGAAACTACTGTAATAACTGCAACAATTCTTTTTTATTATTTCAATTTTGTTTAGCAGGGTGACGGTTAATGTACTTGTTTTTGTATTTCGTGTTGTGTTTTTTCATCTACTTGTGTATATTTTGACGCGGTACATGTACGATGCTATGCGTCGGGAGTTTGCATTATCAGCAAGTTTTGTGTTAGAGTGTTGATGGCAGCGAGATAAGGTAATGAGCTAGTTGTACAGAAGGAAAATTGTGTCGTGGAGGAAATAAAAGAAGTTGAATTGAGATCTCGCACTGAACTACAACTCATTCATTTTAACGATGGCAATTATTGGTGTTGGTATCTACAGCATTGAGGCTGAGGGATATAATGTATTTGATTCTCATGCTAGAGATATGTATCATAACAGTCATAGTGAAGGGACGTGTATTGTTGGAAATACCATCCATGCATAAATTAGTACAATATTTTCCGACTCTACATATGCAGTTTAATCCTCATCCAGATATGAACCTCCTTGGAGAGTCCGGGTCATAGTTTATTGCTACATATTGCGACCTTTGAACCTCATTTTTTCTCAAGCAATGTTGAACATTGTAGTATATCAAATGTTAATAGTTACCAATGTTCCTGTAAACAGTGCTGCCCTATAGCAGTTTATGCAATGTGTTATTCTCTTATTAATCCTTGTGCATACTGGACTTAAAGGGACTGGTTCACGATAATGCGCATGTGTGAGTTCTGACAGTAGCTGATTGTTTTCAACTAATCGGAAGCGCGTTAGATGCACGCACGTAAATTTACAAAATTCAAATTAATTGTTTGCGACGCGAGAGTATTTCCGGGCATTTGGTTTGATTTTATTTATCCCCATAATTCAAGTTTATTCTTTGCTACTCCTCAGATATATTGTTGCAGCCGATAAGAATAAGATTTACACCCCTGTCCTGCTTTGAAACAAACATTTACCAACGTGTATTTTTACGAGGTCGTACCCACGCTAACAAAACAGTCACCGATCGGCAAAATTTGTAAACAAACATCTTATTACTGTTCTCTTAGTTCGCCTTATATAAACCCAGAAATACCTACAAATAGCGCCTGACCGCTGACAAAAACACACAACGTATGAGTATAAAGATTATCCTTAATTGAGCATAAATTTCAATTGCTTATCAGCAAATGAACAAATTCATTCGCGTTGCATCGGGTCAGTGTTCCGCAAAACAAATGTTATCGAGTAGCACACATAAAGAAACTAGATTATAAACAGAATATTCAGGCAATAATTTATTTTTAAAACATCAATTCTTAAACATATACGATCGTAAAGCAAATATACAAGGAACATTTCAAGCGTACCAGATCGGTGAAGATCGCGCGGCCTGTTGCGGTATAACTACAGGTCGGAGTCAAAAAATCAAATCAAAGTTGAACGAACTCATGCCTTTAACCACTTTCCAAGTGTCGTGTATTCTTTTCGTATGCCACACACTACTCCTAGAACCATAACAGATCGATAGGCTAAGCTTCTCTATCTCCAGAGACTCTTGAGAACGTCCTGTTGCCGGACGGCCACGATGCTCTTCTGAACCTCCATGATCAAAACATTATTTTTTGCGTCTTCTTAAAACGTAACCAGTCAAACGACTCAACCACACGTTAATCACCACTACCAAAGTATAATAGACCAGCCAAAGCGACGGATGTCCGAATAAAACGAAGGATTTTCAATGATTGTACCGGTAATGGCGATTTCGGAATTTAGTGTTGACCCGACAAATTTATTCTGAAGAGACAAACGGCGCGCATGCGCATTATCGTGAACCAGTCCCTTTAAGGAACTGTATTTGCCCTTGTTAGTAACCGAAATACACTGTACAATGTGATGGGTGTGAAAACACATCTGTCAGTCAGTCTTCCACAAAGTGTCAGTATCAGTCGAGCTTACACAATCACTCTCGGCCGCTTGTTCCTTCAATACATGCCGCAATGTTCGTGAAGTTTGAGCAAGATCCATGAAAGCGTTCTCGAGGCATTTGGGATGACGTTTTCACCGAAGCACTGTTTAAAAAACGAGCAGGAGTGTATTGTCAGTTCTAAAAAATCGAGGCGAAGCCGACAGATTTTAAACCTAATAATTCACGACTGCAGGTTTTTTGGAACGGCTTCAAAATCTCTGCCGTAGATCAACTCATTCTTGCACTAATATTTAGATTTGGGGTTATTTAGGTCTAAGTAATTGGAGGTAAAGTTTAGCTGTGTCTTCATCAGATATAAAGACACTCATTAAACATTAATTTAATTCTTTTTGCTTTTTCTTTATGAATTATTAATGCGTTTTTTGAAGGTTAGAAATATCACAAAAACTGGACAATCTTGACGTTCGGCCCAGACAGTGTTTGGCTGAACTTTAAAAGATCATGGGGATAAATTTTAGCTTTAACCGATGCCAGAAAAAAGGATTTGATTAAGTATATGAGTAAGAAGAACCCTGGCAAGGAGGTTACCTTTATACAACATACCCTTGAATGTTCAGTGATATTGCAACGAATGACAAATATGGGTTGAAACAATTAAGAGCACAAGGAAAGCGCCAAGCTGAAATCACTGGGCACTTCAAATCTGGGACAGTCATTATCCAAGGGTACATCTATTTAACATTATTCGTTATGAATAACTATTTCTTTGGGCGTGGCCCAAATAGAATAATGGAAACGGCTTGTTTTGACGCAAATGTCCAATAGGCACGCAATACGTGTTACAGTAAACAAGGCAAGTAAACAAGCGAAGCAAGGCTAATATCTGCCATGCGAACGTCTTGTACAAGGTAAGAGGCATGTGGGAAAGAAAGCTCTGCTAGCACACGGCACTTTATCGCACTTTTACGACCTCAAAAGTTAATCTGAATCTACAGTATTTTTGCCTCATCGAAATTGAAGTCCAGGGATGAAATCTATCAAAAATATTTGGAATATTAACGTCGGGTTTTGGTCACAATAAGATCACAACCAACGAACCTTGAAACACAGAAACTCACAAAACGGATCGAAATCCACCAATCACAAATCACAAACAATGACCTTTTGAACCCGTTGAAGTAAACTTTCGTTTCCTAAGAGGTCCACTGAGGTGATTGGCGTCTGACATTTTTTTTTTTTTTTTTTGACGAGAGGATCGAAATGCACCAATCATAGAAAGACAGTTTTAATTGCATGTTTCCTAAGAGATCATCTCAATTTGCTGTTTACTTTATTTTATGTCCATTTTCTATTCCTTATTTTGTGATTGGTCGATTTTGTTCGGTCGAGTGGATGATCCAATGAGGGACGATTTGGATATCGTTTGATCCGAAATTTTTCGAAGCAAAAGTAAGAAGCAGTTTGGATAACATTTGGCCGCGGCGTTTCGAGGAACGTGTTAATATATTGTTCAATTATGTTATACCAGGTTAAACTTACAAATGCACACACTGTTCACGGTAGGCCCACACTAAAAAATAACACGGAGTGTTTTCGGAATGGGCTGGTCCGCGAACTCAAAAAGAAACACAAAGGAAATTATGAAGACATTCAATGACTTCAAAGACTCATGAACCCTATAGACGCAATGACAAATCGGAATATCAGGAGTGTACGTGTAAAATGGATGAGTTTGAACAGAGGAATGTTTAACAAGTTTGAGAGTCGCAAGATTTGTGTAGCTGTTTATCAGTGTGACAATAGTGATTTTGACTTTTGCATTGCGGAACACAACGAGTTGCCTGTGATAAAAATCTGTTCCGATGAAGGAAGAGACTATTGTCAGCAATTGAAACCAAAAGGGCCTGAGGCTTCTTTTGAAACTACTGTAATAACTGCAACAATTCTTTTTATTATTTCAATTTTGTTTAGCAGGGTGACGGTTAATGTACTTGTTTTTGTATTTCGTGTTGTGTTTTTTTTCATCTACTTGTGTATATTTTGACGCGGTACATGTACGATGCTATGCGTCGGGAGTTTGCATTATCAGCAAGTTTTGTGTTAGAGTGTTGATGGCAGCGAGATAAGGTAATGAGCTAGTTGTACAGAAGGAAAATTGTGTCGTGGAGGAAATAAAAGAAGTTGAATTGAGATCTCGCACTGAACTACAACTCATTCATTTTAACGATGGCAATTATTGGTGTTGGTATCTACAGCATTGAGGCTGAGGGATATAATGTATTTGATTCTCATGCTAGAGATATGTATCATAACAGTCATAGTGAAGGGACGTGTATTGTTGGAAATACCATCCATGCATAAATTAGTACAATATTTTCCGACTCTACATATGCAGTTTAATCCTCATCCAGATATGAACCTCCTTGGAGAGTCCGGGTCATAGTTTATTGCTACATATTGCGACCTTTGAACCTCATTTTTTCTCAAGCAATGTTGAACATTGTAGTATATCAAATGTTAATAGTTACCAATGTTCCTGTAAACAGTGCTGCCCTATAGCAGTTTATGCAATGTGTTATTCTCTTATTAATCCTTGTGCATACTGGACTTAAAGGGACTGGTTCACGATAATGCGCATGTGTGAGTTCTGACAGTAGCTGATTGTTTTTCAACTAATCGGAAGCGCGTTAGATGCACGCACGTAAATTTACAAAATTCAAATTAATTGTTTGCGACGCGAGAGTATTTCCGGGCATTTGGTTTGATTTTATTTATCCCCATAATTCAAGTTTATTCTTTGCTACTCCTCAGATATATTGTTGCAGCCGATAAGAATAAGATTTACACCCCTGTCCTGCTTTGAAACAAACATTTACCAACGTGTATTTTTTACGAGGTCGTACCCACGCTAACAAAACAGTCACCGATCGGCAAAATTTGTAAACAAACATCTTATTACTGTTCTCTTAGTTCGCCTTATATAAACCCAGAAATACCTACAAATAGCGCCTGACCGCTGACAAAAACACACAACGTATGAGTATGAAGATTATCCTTAATTGAGCATAAATTTCAATTGCTTATCAGCAAATGAACAAATTCATTCGCGTTGCATCGGGTCAGTGTTCCGCAAAACAAATGTTATCGAGTAGCACACATAAAGAAACTAGATTATAAACAGAATATTCAGGCAATAATTTATTTTTAAAACATCAATTCTTAAACATATACGATCGTAAAGCAAATATACAAGGAACATTTCAAGCGTACCAGATCGGTGAAGATCGCGCGGCCTGTTGCGGTATAACTACAGGTCGGAGTCAAAAATCAAATCAAAGTTGAACGAACTCATGCCTTTAACCACTTTCCAAGTGTCGTGTATTCTTTTCGTATGCCACACACTACTCCTAGAACCATAACAGATCGATAGGCTAAGCTTCTCTATCTCCAGAGACTCTTGAGAACGTCCTGTTGCCGGACGGCCACGATGCTCTTCTGAACCTCCATGATCAAAACATTATTTTTTGCGTCTTCTTAAAACGTAACCAGTCAAACGACTCAACCACACGTTAATCACCACTACCAAAGTATAATAGACCAGCCAAAGCGACGGATGTCCGAATAAAACGAAGGATTTTCAATGATTGTACCGGTAATGGCGATTTCGGATTTAGTGTTGACCCGACAAATTTATTCTGAAGAGACAAACGGCGCGCATGCGCATTATCGTGAACCAGTCCCTTTAAGGAACTGTATTTGCCCTTGTTAGTAACCGAAATACACTGTACAATGTGATGGGTGTGAAAACACATCTGTCAGTCAGTCTTCCACAAAGTGTCAGTATCAGTCGAGCTTACACAATCACTCTCGGCCGCTTGTTCCTTCAATACATGCCGCAATGTTCGTGAAGTTTGAGCAAGATCCATGAAAGCGTTCTCGAGACATTTGGGATGACGTTTTCACCGAAGCACTGTTTAAAAAACGAGCAGGAGTGTATTGTCAGTTCTAAAAAATCGAGGCGAAGCCGACAGATTTTAAACCTAATAATTCACGACTGCAGGTTTTTGGAACGGCTTCAAAATCTCTGCCGTAGATCAACTCATTCTTGCACTAATATTTAGATTTGGGGTTATTTAGGTCTAAGTAATTGAGGTAAAGTTTAGCTGTGTCTTCATCAGATATAAAGACACTCATTAAACATTAATTTAATTCTTATGCTTTTTCTTTATGAATTATTAATGCGTTTTTGAAGGTTAGAAATATCACAAAAACTGGACAATCTTGACGTTCGGCCCAGACAGTGTTCGGCTGAACTTTAAAAGATCATGGGGATAAATTTTAGCTTTAACCGATGCCAGAAAAAAAGGATTTGATTAAGTATATGAGTAAGAAGAACCCTGGCAAGGAGGTTACCTTTATGCAACATACCCTTGAATGTTCAGTGATATTGCAACGAATGACAAATATGGGTTGAAACAATTAAGAGCACAAGGAAAGCGCCAAGCTGAAATCACTGGGCACTTCAAATCTGGGACAGTCATTATCCAAGGGTACATCTATTTAACATTATTCGTTATGAATAACTATTTCTTTGGGCGTGGCCCAAATAGAATAATGGAAACGGCTTGTTTTGACGCAAATGTCCAATAGGCACGCAATACGTGTTACAGTAAACAAGGCAAGTAAACAAGCGAAGCAAGGCTAATATCTGCCATGCGAACGTCTTGTACAAGGTAAGAGGCATGTGGGAAAGAAAGCTCTGCTAGCACACGGCACTTTATCGCACTTTTACGACCTCAAAAGTTAATCTGAATCTACAGTATTTTTGCCTCATCGAAATTGAAGTCCAGGGATGAAATCTATCAAAAATATTTGGAATATTAACGTCGGGTTTTGGTCACAATAAGATCACAACCAACGAACCTTGAAACACAGAAACTCACAAAACGGATCGAAATCCACCAATCACAAATCACAAACAATGACCTTTTGAACCCGTTGAAGTAAACTTTCGTTTCCTAAGAGGTCCACTGAGGTGATTGGCGTCTGACATTTTTTTGACGAGAGGATCGAAATGCACCAATCATAGAAAGACAGTTTTAATTGCATGTTTCCTAAGAGATCATCTCAATTTGCTGTTTACTTTATTTTATGTCCATTTTCTATTCCTTATTTTGTGATTGGTCGATTTTGTTCGGTCGAGTGGATGATCCAATGAGGGACGATTTGGATATCGTTTGATCCGAAATTTTTCGAAGCAAAAGTAAGAAGCAGTTTGGATAACATTTGGCCGCGGCGTTTCGAGGAACGTGTTAATATATTGTTCAATTATGTTATACCAGGTTAAACTTACAAATGCACACACTGTTCACGGTAGGCCCACACTAAAAAATAACACGGAGTGTTTTCGGAATGGGCTGGTCCGCGAACTCAAAGAAACACAAAGGAAATTATGAAGACATTCAATGACTTCAAAGACTCATGAACCCTATAGACGCAATGACAAATCGGAATATCAGGAGTGTACGTGTAAAATGGATGAGTTTGAACAGAGGAATGTTTAACAAGTTTGAGAGTCGCAAGATTTGTGTAGCTGTTTATCAGTGTGACAATAGTGATTTTGACTTTTGCATTGCGGAACACAACGAGTTGCCTGTGATAAAAATCTGTTCCGATGAAGGAAGAGACTATTGTCAGCAATTGAAACCAAAAGGGCCTGAGGCTTCTTTTGAAACTACTGTAATAACTGCAACAATTCTTTTTATTATTTCAATTTTGTTTAGCAGGGTGACGGTTAATGTACTTGTTTTTGTATTTCGTGTTGTGTTTTTTCATCTACTTGTGTATATTTTGACGCGGTACATGTACGATGCTATGCGTCGGGAGTTTGCATTATCAGCAAGTTTTGTGTTAGAGTGTTGATGGCAGCGAGATAAGGTAATGAGCTAGTTGTACAGAAGGAAAATTGTGTCGTGGAGGAAATAAAAGAAGTTGAATTGAGATCTCGCACTGAACTACAACTCATTCATTTTAACGATGGCAATTATTGGTGTTGGTATCTACAGCATTGAGGCTGAGGGATATAATGTATTTGATTCTCATGCTAGAGATATGTATCATAACAGTCATAGTGAAGGGACGTGTATTGTTGGAAATACCATCCATGCATAAATTAGTACAATATTTTCCGACTCTACATATGCAGTTTAATCCTCATCCAGATATGAACCTCCTTGGAGAGTCCGGGTCATAGTTTATTGCTACATATTGCGACCTTTGAACCTCATTTTTTCTCAAGCAATGTTGAACATTGTAGTATATCAAATGTTAATAGTTACCAATGTTCCTGTAAACAGTGCTGCCCTATAGCAGTTTATGCAATGTGTTATTCTCTTATTAATCCTTGTGCATACTGGACTTAAAGGGACTGGTTCACGATAATGCGCATGTGTGAGTTCTGACAGTAGCTGATTGTTTTTCAACTAATCGGAAGCGCGTTAGATGCACGCACGTAAATTTACAAAATTCAAATTAATTGTTTGCGACGCGAGAGTATTTCCGGGCATTTGGTTTGATTTTATTTATCCCCATAATTCAAGTTTATTCTTTGCTACTCCTCAGATATATTGTTGCAGCCGATAAGAATAAGATTTACACCCCTGTCCTGCTTTGAAACAAACATTTACCAACGTGTATTTTTACGAGGTCGTACCCACGCTAACAAAACAGTCACCGATCGGCAAAATTTGTAAACAAACATCTTATTACTGTTCTCTTAGTTCGCCTTATATAAACCCAGAAATACCTACAAATAGCGCCTGACCGCTGACAAAAACACACAACGTATGAGTATAAAGATTATCCTTAATTGAGCATAAATTTCAATTGCTTATCAGCAAATGAACAAATTCATTCGCGTTGCATCGGGTCAGTGTTCCGCAAAACAAATGTTATCGAGTAGCACACATAAAGAAACTAGATTATAAACAGAATATTCAGGCAATAATTTATTTTTAAAACATCAATTCTTAAACATATACGATCGTAAAGCAAATATACAAGGAACATTTCAAGCGTACCAGATCGGTGAAGATCGCGCGGCCTGTTGCGGTATAACTACAGGTCGGAGTCAAAAATCAAATCAAAGTTGAACGAACTCATGCCTTTAACCACTTTCCAAGTGTCGTGTATTCTTTTCGTATGCCACACACTACTCCTAGAACCATAACAGATCGATAGGCTAAGCTTCTCTATCTCCAGAGACTCTTGAGAACGTCCTGTTGCCGGACGGCCACGATGCTCTTCTGAACCTCCATGATCAAAACATTATTTTTTTTGCGTCTTCTTAAAACGTAACCAGTCAAACGACTCAACCACACGTTAATCACCACTACCAAAGTATAATAGACCAGCCAAAGCGACGGATGTCCGAATAAAACGAAGGATTTTCAATGATTGTACCGGTAATGGCGATTTCGAATTTAGTGTTGACCCGACAAATTTATTCTGAAGAGACAAACGGCGCGCATGCGCATTATCGTGAACCAGTCCCTTTAAGGAACTGTATTTGCCCTTGTTAGTAACCGAAATACACTGTACAATGTGATGGGTGTGAAAACACATCTGTCAGTCAGTCTTCCACAAAGTGTCAGTATCAGTCGAGCTTACACAATCACTCTCGGCCGCTTGTTCCTTCAATACATGCCGCAATGTTCGTGAAGTTTGAGCAAGATCCATGAAAGCGTTCTCGAGACATTTGGGATGACGTTTTCACCGAAGCACTGTTTAAAAAACGAGCAGGAGTGTATTGTCAGTTCTAAAAAATCGAGGCGAAGCCGACAGATTTTAAACCTAATAATTCACGACTGCAGGTTTTTTGGAACGGCTTCAAAATCTCTGCCGTAGATCAACTCATTCTTGCACTAATATTTAGATTTGGGGTTATTTAGGTCTAAGTAATTGGACGTAAAGTTTAGCTGTGTCTTCATCAGATATAAAGACACTCATTAAACATTAATTTAATTCTTTTGCTTTTTCTTTATGAATTATTAATGCATTTTTGAAGGTTAGAAATATCACAAAAACTGGACAATCTTGACGTTCGGCCCAGACAGTGTTTGGCTGAACTTTAAAAGATCATGGGGATAAATTTTAGCTTTAACCGATGCCAGAAAAAAGGATTTGATTAAGTATATGAGTAAGAAGAACCCTGGCAAGGAGGTTACCTTTATACAACATACCCTTGAATGTTCAGTGATATTGCAACGAATGACAAATATGGGTTGAAACAATTAAGAGCACAAGGAAAGCGCCAAGCTGAAATCACTGGGCACTTCAAATCTGGGACAGTCATTATCCAAGGGTACATCTATTTAACATTATTCGTTATGAATAACTATTTCTTTGGGCGTGGCCCAAATAGAATAATGGAAACGGCTTGTTTTGACGCAAATGTCCAATAGGCACGCAATACGTGTTACAGTAAACAAGGCAAGTAAACAAGCGAAGCAAGGCTAATATCTGCCATGCGAACGTCTTGTACAAGGTAAGAGGCATGTGGGAAAGAAAGCTCTGCTAGCACACGGCACTTTATCGCACTTTTACGACCTCAAAAGTTAATCTGAATCTACAGTATTTTTGCCTCATCGAAATTGAAGTCCAGGGATGAAATCTATCAAAAATATTTGGAATATTAACGTCGGGTTTTGGTCACAATAAGATCCCAACCAACGAACCTTGAAACACAGAAACTCACAAAACGGATCGAAATCCACCAATCACAAATCACAAACAATGACCTTTTGAACCCGTTGAAGTAAACTTTCGTTTCCTAAGAGGTCCACTGAGGTGATTGGCGTCTGACATTTTTTTGACGAGAGGATCGAAATGCACCAATCATAGAAAGACAGTTTTAATTGCATGTTTCCTAAGAGATCATCTCAATTTGCTGTTTACTTTATTTTATGTCCATTTTCTATTCCTTATTTTGTGATTGGTCGATTTTGTTCGGTCGAGTGGATGATCCAATGAGGGACGATTTGGATATCGTTTGATCCGAAATTTTTCGAAGCAAAAGTAAGAAGCAGTTTGGATAACATTTGGCCGCGGCGTTTCGAGGAACGTGTTAATATATTGTTCAATTATGTTATACCAGGTTAAACTTACAAATGCACACACTGTTCACGGTAGGCCCACACTAAAAAATAACACGGAGTGTTTTCGGAATGGGCTGGTCCGCGAACTCAAAGAAACACAAAGGAAATTATGAAGACATTCAATGACTTCAAAGACTCATGAACCCTATAGACGCAATGACAAATCGGAATATCAGGAGTGTACGTGTAAAATGGATGAGTTTGAACAGAGGAATGTTTAACAAGTTTGAGAGTCGCAAGATTTGTGTAGCTGTTTATCAGTGTGACAATAGTGATTTTGACTTTTGCATTGCGGAACACAACGAGTTGCCTGTGATAAAAAATCTGTTCCGATGAAGGAAGAGACTATTGTCAGCAATTGAAACCAAAAGGGCCTGAGGCTTCTTTTGAAACTACTGTAATAACTGCAACAATTCTTTTTATTATTTCAATTTTGTTTAGCAGGGTGACGGTTAATGTACTTGTTTTTGTATTTCGTGTTGTGTTTTTTCATCTACTTGTGTATATTTTGACGCGGTACATGTACGATGCTATGCGTCGGGAGTTTGCATTATCAGCAAGTTTTGTGTTAGAGTGTTGATGGCAGCGAGATAAGGTAATGAGCTAGTTGTACAGAAGGAAAATTGTGTCGTGGAGGAAATAAAAGAAGTTGAATTGAGATCTCGCACTGAACTACAACTCATTCATTTTAACGATGGCAATTATTGGTGTTGGTATCTACAGCATTGAGGCTGAGGGATATAATGTATTTGATTCTCATGCTAGAGATATGTATCATAACAGTCATAGTGAAGGGACGTGTATTGTTGGAAATACCATCCATGCATAAATTAGTACAATATTTTCCGACTCTACATATGCAGTTTAATCCTCATCCAGATATGAACCTCCTTGGAGAGTCCGGGTCATAGTTTATTGCTACATATTGCGACCTTTGAACCTCATTTTTTCTCAAGCAATGTTGAACATTGTAGTATATCAAATGTTAATAGTTACCAATGTTCCTGTAAACAGTGCTGCCCTATAGCAGTTTATGCAATGTGTTATTCTCTTATTAATCCTTGTGCATACTGGACTTAAAGGGACTGGTTCACGATAATGCGCATGTGTGAGTTCTGACAGTAGCTGATTGTTTTTCAACTAATCGGAAGCGCGTTAGATGCACGCACGTAAATTTACAAAATTCAAATTAATTGTTTGCGACGCGAGAGTATTTCCGGGCATTTGGTTTGATTTTATTTATCCCCATAATTCAAGTTTATTCTTTGCTACTCCTCAGATATATTGTTGCAGCCGATAAGAATAAGATTTACACCCCTGTCCTGCTTTGAAACAAACATTTACCAACGTGTATTTTTACGAGGTCGTACCCACGCTAACAAAACAGTCACCGATCGGCAAAATTTGTAAACAAACATCTTATTACTGTTCTCTTAGTTCGCCTTATATAAACCCAGAAATACCTACAAATAGCGCCTGACCGCTGACAAAAAACACACAACGTATGAGTATAAAGATTATCCTTAATTGAGCATAAATTTCAATTGCTTATCAGCAAATGAACAAATTCATTCGCGTTGCATCGGGTCAGTGTTCCGCAAAACAAATGTTATCGAGTAGCACACATAAAGAAACTAGATTATAAACAGAATATTCAGGCAATAATTTATTTTTAAAACATCAATTCTTAAACATATACGATCGTAAAGCAAATATACAAGGAACATTTCAAGCGTACCAGATCGGTGAAGATCGCGCGGCCTGTTGCGGTATAACTACAGGTCGGAGTCAAAAATCAAATCAAAGTTGAACGAACTCATGCCTTTAACCACTTTCCAAGTGTCGTGTATTCTTTTCGTATGCCACACACTACTCCTAGAACCATAACAGATCGATAGGCTAAGCTTCTCTATCTCCAGAGACTCTTGAGAACGTCCTGTTGCCGGACGGCCACGATGCTCTTCTGAACCTCCATGATCAAAACATTATTTTTTGCGTCTTCTTAAAACGTAACCAGTCAAACGACTCAACCACACGTTAATCACCACTACCAAAGTATAATAGACCAGCCAAAGCGACGGATGTCCGAATAAAACGAAGGATTTTCAATGATTGTACCGGTAATGGCGATTTCGAATTTAGTGTTGACCCGACAAATTTATTCTGAAGAGACAAACGGCGCGCATGCGCATTATCGTGAACCAGTCCCTTTAAGGAACTGTATTTGCCCTTGTTAGTAACCGGAATACACTGTACAATGTGATGGGTGTGAAAACACATCTGTCAGTCAGTCTTCCACAAAGTGTCAGTATCAGTCGAGCTGAGATAAACCTTACTCTCCGGGCTGAAACCACTTATATCCTATGTTGCAATTTGGCTCCAAGCATGTCTGCATTGAAGATGTGCATATTTTCAAACATTGTCACGAAATGACACGATTTTTGTTGTGGATTGGGACATAGTCTATAAGCTGTGTGGTTCAGCAAACAAGTGGAGTAAAGGATTTATCTTCTCTGGTAAGATGTGATGACAGTTGTTTAGCTGCAATAAGGCAAGTTTAAACTATCGTACCCGTAGTACGATTACACCCAAATATACGCTCCCACAGCGTCTTGTTACCTTTAATACCTCCCTTAAAACTAAATTTGTTAAAATGAACCTTAATGTACATTTAGTGTAAGTCATAAATGTAAAATTGAATAGTAAAAGTCACGTCTAAATTACAGCCTCTGAAATAATAAAAAAGCAGCATCATTTTCAGTTATTTTAATGGCAAAAAAGCACAAGGCATATTTTCAAAAAAAACTCCTACCAAGGGTTGCACTAAAAACAACATCTTGCACAGGTAATGGGCCAAGAAAAAGTTCCTGTATCCCCCCCTTCTTTTTACTTTTCTTATGATCCATCCCTAAATTTGCAAAAACCACGCCAAAACAGAAAAGGAAAGAATGGTGACCATGTGATATAACAAAAAAATGCAGTTTCTATCACTTTATTTTGCTTTTCTTTATGGGCCATTCTTTTCATCTGCCGTTAAAAGTAGTCATTTCTGATATCAAATCACAGCAAAATAAGCAAGAAAAATAAATTTAATTGGCATGCACATTGCCATTCCTCTTACAGCTTTACAGCCAAATTCATTCCATGGGTGGCATGTGGCCCCTGTTAACAGTCATGCACATTACATTCTGCCAGCTACATGGAATACAAGTATCATTATTTTAAGTCAATCAGTCAAGTAAAGCCCAGTTAGATATGGATATCAGGGGGATTTTTCATTAAGAAGCACTTGACCCAGGGGACTTTGCCTTGTTAAATTCCCCCACCCCTAGAGGAACTTGTCAACTTTGCACCGCCCATTTTCCAATCCCCTTGGTTAGCCTGGGGTCCTACACCAGGGGGAAGCCCTGGTTTGCAATGTGACTCATCCGATGACTGACACAAAAATCTGTCAAAGTGGAAGGTCCAAAAGAATTTCCAAAACTGCTCTGCCTTAACGTTAAGAATACTTTTTCCTCTGATGTAGCTAATCTTTATGTGGTAAAACTACTGATGAGCCCCATGCAAACAGAAGCAACATTCTTGGCCAACAACTCCCAACATTGTTGGGAGTTATTGCGTTCATCTTCATGTAGCTATAAGTTTGACCGGTTTCAATTTTTGCACAACTACTCCTAACAACATGCAACAGGGTGTGCAAACGGACGCAGCATGTAACATTCAACAATGTTGCGTCTGTTTGCAAAAGGCTTTAGACTTACTCCCGGCCATGAACTGACCAATTTCCATATTTTAGAGTTCAACTTCAATTACAATTTGTGGCTCTTGGGAATAAGCATCTCTAGAGAATTAATTTCAAGCTTTTTCACATTTAGCTTTTTGCTTTTAGGAAAACTCACAAGTGAAAAATAAGCATGTTATTTATCTGTGCATTGGGGGTATGTGATATATTCACTTGGTACATGTACATTACCGCCCCTCAAGCTGCACCCTTGGGGCATTACCAAGTGAATATATCACATAACCCCTCGTTCCAGGTATTTAATATAACCCTTACATAAACTTGACACCACTGATTTAAAGTCCTCCACCCACTCAGGCAAAAGTCAAATTCTCCACTCCCTGGGCACAAATGATGGCCAAATGCCAGGGGTTTGCCTGGGGGATGTTGAAGTTTTGCAGTAAAGCCAAGGCCACCTACAAGTTTACTATTTCTTATATAAATTTAAATATTGAGAAGTTTTATTTTTACTCTAGCACAGTTCATTGGCTGTTCATAGACAATTTCAGGTTGAAAAGCAAAACCACTGATAAGTTATTTCCTCTCCTGTGTTTGTCTGTACTACATGTATATCTGGTGTTCTTGTAGAATCAAACAATACCTGGAATAGTTTACCCTAGAGCCAAGAGGTACGTAACAAGATTTGTTTGCATAGATTTCTATTAGAATGGCCTAGTCAATTCCAAGTCTGATCACTCAGCACACCCACCCAGCCCCCTCCCCCGCCATCCCTTATTCCCTGGTTATTTGCAAGAAATTTTTTCCATGACAAGCTAGAATGCATAAAATGCAAGTGACTGTGATTAAACTTGATTCATATTAAATTTTTCTTTTTTCTTTGCTGTCAACAGAAATTCTTAAGCTTGATGGGAGAGTCTATTAATTCTAAGAGTGTTCGCAAGATATATTCTTACTATTCTTACTCAACTGAACCCCTTCCTTTTAATATAAAGGGTAAATGAAAGGCTCCAAAAGTAAAGTAGGGATTTGAGAATTTCTTGTGAAAGCTTATGGGTTTTAAGTTTAAAGTTAATTGCTTTTAATAGTATAAGTACATTTGTATCTAAAAGGAAGCTTTGTTTTTAGCCCTAGCATAATCTAATATACCCAGATCTCTTGTTTTACAAAGCCAAAGGCGAGATCTGGTCAAGTAACAAAATTGTGAGCGAATGATGTGAGTGTTGTCTCCTGCGTGTGCTACAGTGTGTGCAAATTCATTCTTTAATTGCAAAGTCTTCAGTAGTTCTATTCAAATCAATATTTTCACTGAAGAGGTAATTGCCCGTCTCAATATAACTTGTAAAACCATCATCTTTAAAGACTTTGTTAAAAATATTTTTTTTAATGGTATCAAAATCAAGACCTTAGAAAAGGGTGAAAAAAATTCTGGCCAAGAATGAGCTGACACATGCTGCTTTCAGCTTTTCGCACACGCTATGATATTCGAATTTGACTGTTACATTAAGAAAAACAACACAATAACAAATTATTTTGTTCATATGTATATGCATATAACCACGTTTTGTAAGAAAAATTATCATGGCTCCATTAACTTTTGTTGTTTAAACACCTAAAATTGAGGATTTATTTCGAGCATGCACTCTTTCATCGTCACATTCCTAACAGGCGATCAAGTGTACAAATCAGATTTACCAGATCTCGCCTTTGGCTTCATCAACAGGAGATCTGGGTACGAGATTAGCCCTGGGTAAATTTTACACATTACAATACCTCAAAGGATTTTTAGCAACTCAGTTCATGACTGCATCATAAAATGGCATAAAGAATTCTAAATCAATTTGAACTGCATGTGTGCTAGCATTTTGTGCCCGGTTTTCAATTTACATTTCTGAAATCACATTAAGTTTTGCATGGTGTATCATTAAAATCAGTGATCAATCTGAATGAGGTTTAAGAATTAGATTTTGCCACTGAGTTTAAAGTTGGTATGTCAGTGCATGGGATATCCACTCTTCCAGAAGCCCCACAGTTGGATTTGTAAGTTTGAGCTGAACCCACTGGGCTCGAAATAGTGGCCTGAAAATGGCCAAATAACAGGCTACATCGTAAATTTTAGGTTTGCAGGCAAAGAAAATTAATGACCATGAACTGCCAAATGGATAAAGAAATGGCAGGGCAAATTAACTGGACTGGTTTTCTGACATTTTCATCTCCTCTTACCATGCTTGTTTACCTACCATTTCTTTCCTCAAATCAATTGTCCCCAATAAAAAATTAGCACCAGAAGGTCTCTTAACTGTTAGCTTCTTTATAAAGTTTAAAAGCATACAACAGTTTGTGGTTTTCTTATTTAATTCAACCCAGCATTTTAGGCTCAACCCCAATGTTCAGAACATTGAAGTATACAATATTAACTTCCAATATCTATGTGAACATTTTGATGAAATATGGAAACAGTCTAAAAATACCTCAGTGAGGCAGATCTTACATCTGATCACATAGAAACGATGAAGGACTTCTTCATTGTCTCATCAGCCAACAAATAAATGTATTGCTACTGAAAACCAAACCATAATCTGATTTCATCTGCAATAGCAAAAATGGCAGTAGGTGGCAGGCAGAAAATATAAGTTAATGGCAGGTCAAATTTGTATGGCTTGCCAAAAATTAAAAAAATTGCAATGTATATATATATATATATATATATATATATATATATTTTAAAAGCCCTGAGTCCAGCATTTGTAACACTATATACTGTCAGCTATTTCGAGAAAGGTTTGTCGAAAAAAATGTGTACTCGACAATCCCGAAAGGTAATATGGGATAATTTTATGATCAATACACTGTTCCTGACGACTGTAGCTGTCGAACGTACTTTTGTCGCTTTCCTTTAGCACTTGCAAACACATTTCCATGGCCTTTCGTGCCAATTTTTTCACATTTCTTTGAAGCACAGAGAACTAAAAACCATCCACAATGCCTTTCGGGATTGTCATGTGCACTTTTTCCGACAACCTTTCTCTAAATAGCTGTATATATAAAAAGACAAATGTGTGACAAATGCCTGGGGTGGGGGGGTATAGATGAGCGGGCTTGGAATTGACGGAACCATTAACCCTTCAACCATTTATGTACCATAAAACCAAGGTAAAGTAAAGTGAAAAAATTGTGGACATTTTAATGTTGTGGTTCAATTTTATCCTTGGTGTACATTTCAGTTCCTTTTGTTTCAGTCTTATCATCATAAAAAAACAAATAAATGTAAAATTTAAAGCCAAGGATAAAACCGGGGGAAGGTGTACTTCCTTATAAGAGGCTAATGGAGATGTGCTGCTGGATGGGGTCACCTTTTCACAGTGGATTGACCATAATGGGGTCGCGTTTTCAGTAGAGTTACTACAATGGAATCACACATTCTCTGACTTTTGGGGTAAGACAGTTCTTCATATATTTACAGTTAGCAAACAGTAACAGAATGTTTGTACTGTAGGTGAAAAGTAAAGTGTTCTTCATTCAATATAAGGTAGATACATAATTAGAAAGTGACTAAGTTGGGATCTCAAAAATTACATAATTTGCCCAAACGTGACTAAGATAAGGTCTATCATTGGCCACAGAAAAAAATATAATGGGGTAGGGGCTCTGAGAGGCCAGCTGCACATACCCAGCAGAAATTAAGCCAAGTACCCCCGCCCCCAACCCGGGGGATAAAATTGAGCCGCAACATAATTTTTTACTACCTCTTTTTAATACCCCAAATACTTTCATGATTTACCAACCAGCAGAGTACGTACGATTTCCGTACAGCCCGCATACAGGGTCAAAACCAGTATCTGAATCTTACTCTAACTAGTAACGACAAGATTTACAATGTTCATTAGCTATAGAATTGCCTAACATAATGGCACTGGACTTCATGCACTGACGTACGAATTCACCACCAGTACATTCAAATTCAAGGTCTGCAGAAATCATGAGCAGTATAATAGAACAATTAAACTCACCAGAAGCTTTCGTCCGCTCTACATGGTAAACTGGAGTTAAATCAAGGCAACATCAAGGGTGGGTAGAAAACGAAGACGTAAGACCTAAGAACCAACAACGAAGACCCCAGAGCAATCAGAGACAGTAACATCAATTTTACTCCTCTGACACTGTCGCGGAAAAAGCGGAAGCGTTTACTGCAACCTCGTCCCCAGGGTCTTCTCGTTTTCCAATATGGAAGACAATTACCCATGCCACACCGCGAGCAATATCACGCGATTCCTGCTTAGTCGCTAGGCCTTTCCCGATTGCGCTCGTAAAATCCTAAAAAAGTGCTGACAAAAATGGCTAAAGAGTGCTCAAAAGTGCTCAAAATCTCAAAATAGTGCTCAAAGAGTGCTAAAAGTTGTGAACAGTTACCTCTAAGCTTTTCGTAAATATGTCAATTTTTACTGAAGTAATTAACAATCTATTTAAGTAGTGTTATTCGACAGGTTGTTACGAAAGGTTGATAGAATATAGAACAATAATATTCTTAAAAAGCTAAAGCCGGTTACGAATTGTAAATAAATTCAGCAGTGCTAGCATCAGATGATTTAGAAATTTGAGATGACACACGCATGAGCCAATCAGAAACTTCTGTTCTCACGCTCAGTGAGGATAAGTCCACGTGCCTTTCCATGACAACGGTCTTTTATTCTTGACAACTTCATTAGTTATTCAAATTTATGACCTGGAACACGATGCTCGTTGCGAGCGACACAGTTTTTGCTTTAAAATGTTTTAGAAGACATATATATGTTGCTCGAAATTTGCTCGAATTGTGAAATATTGCTCAAATGTTGCCCAAAGGGCGAAAAGTGCTTAAGGGTGCTCAAAATGCAAAATAGTGCTCCAAACTCAAAAAAGTGCTCAAAAGGTGCTCAGCGCAATCGGGAAAGGCCTATTAGTCGCGCAGTTTTCACGCATCCTGCAGACAAGAAATAAAGCCGCGAAGTTTTCAGTTTTCTAGAGAAATCCAACCTGGATCGTAAAACAGTCAAATTTAGCATTTCTAATTACACGATTCGTGAACCGCCCGTATAAACGCCCAGTGCGGATCCACATACTTCAATTGGACAACTAGTGCCGTCATCAGTTTTTCGAAGTTTTACTGACACCTGTGACACCTAATTTGAGAGATGAGCTGGCATGAGGAAAGAGCTCTTTTAATAGACAACTCTCGGTATATTAAAATTCAACGTGATGATGGCGAGTCTTGGAGGACACAAACAAAGAAAGTGAATAATTAACAATTATTCTTTGATATCGAGGTGAATAGTGGCAAAATATTTACCGAGCCACGAAGTGGCGAGGTAAGTATTCCTAAAGCCAGTATTCACCGAGATTGAAAAGAATAATTGTTTTAGTATATACACACGAAGTGATCTCAACAAAATCAGAGAGGAAACTATTCAAAAGTACGATTTGATTGACAGATCAGGTCAGCTAGACACGCGAGAGTTCAAAAAAAAAACTTTGTAGAATTTTCAAACATGGCAATTCACAAGCTTATCACTTCGCAAACAACAGCGTAATGACTTAAATGGAACTGCTGAAAGTTTGAATTGTTTCCTTACCTGAGAAGAAAAGAAGAGCTTTGTTGTTTTCTGTTTGACTTGCCAAGTTTATAGCCGAAAAGGTTTGTTGTGTCGTTCTTCGCATGAAGTGCTGACAAAAATGGCGATTCGGTTCCTCGAGGTAAGACGTCGTCTTCACGTAGCATTCTTTCTCGTGTTTACTTGAAACGTAGAATTTCTGCAAACATTTGCTTTCAAATTTGTTTGTCATAAATAAACTTCGATTTTGGGCCGAATTTTTCTTGTTAGGAAACGCTGAGTTCACGAAACGGCCTCTTCTAGGCGAATAAACGGGAGTGGTAAACAATCGATCGACCACAAAATTCAACAACAGTAAATGGAAAAACGCCGTTTTGAATCCTTCGAAGTCTTTTCTTGCCTGAAAAAAAGTCAACCCTAGGATTTTGTCGACTTTTAAAAGATCTTTCTCTAAGAAAATGGGAAAAAATCCGCACTCACACATTATCCACTCGCTAGGAGGTGAATATTGTTGAATAGTCCGAGATAGCCAACCAATCAGATTGCTTAAATCACCAAGATCACTGAGTGTGTATATACTAAACGTGTTTAGTATACAGCTATTTCGAGAAAGGTTGTCGGAAAAATTGTGCACGCCACAATCCCGAAGGGTAATATGGGATACAATCAATACACTGTTCCTGACATTGTAGCTGCTGAAAATACTTTTGTTGCTTTCCTTTAGCACTCACAAACATACGTCCATGGCCTCTTGTGCCATTCTTTCAAATGTCGTTGACGAACTGTGAACTCAGTACTACCCACAATGCCTTTCGGCATTGTCGCGTGCTCTTTTTCCGACAACCTTTCTCGAAATAGCTGTATACTAAAACAGTGGATAGTGTTTTTCGCGCACTCTGATTGGCTACTCAATCAGTGAATATCCTGCACTATTCACTGATTGACCTCCAGTTCCTCCAAGCGAGCGACGCCAAACTCGCGTAGGTTGCGAGCAAAATGCCTTCCCGGTTTGCTGCCGTAACAAACTAAGAAATTTCACAACTAATCAAGCAAGCTATTTCCGAAATACATGAAGAATGTGACGAAGTTCGGTTTGGAAGTTTTAACAGGTAAAGCTTTTTGTCTTTTTTACTTGAATTTATAAAACCGGTGAAAAAGTTTTTTGTTTACAAATGCAAATTAAGATTAAGTCTTGCGTTACTTTGTTTAGTTGACTTGTTTATAAATAAGCTTAAAACTAAATTTAATAATCTTTTTTACAGAATTATTTTAAATACAAAAAGAATTCACAACTCCTTTTGAAGAAACTTCCCCGCAACAGCTAAACAAACGCCTTCAAAAGTTTTATTTGTCGCTAAGAAAAAGCGACGACCGCGGCCGTTCGGTCATCGCGCGCCAAAATTGTAATCGTTGGCAACAGTAAATGAGTTAAAAATCATCATTTTTGTGCTCAAGTATCTCACAGCTTTAGTATATACTAAAACAATTATTCACCTCAGTGTCGGTGGCTAGTATACACTTACTGTCAGATCCCGAGGGAAACAGTTAGTTTTGTTTTCCCAGGAGTCCTGACATCAGGACTCGAGGGAAAACAAAACTAACTGGTTTCCCGAGGGACATGGCATTAAGTGTTTTGTTATATTTCTAGACTTTCACTTCAACAGCAACAAAAGAATAACCGGAGCGAACCAAAACAGTCGACTCGGTACTCATAACAACACAAATTTAATTCTCAAAACCACTGAATGAATGATTTACAAACAAAAGTACTTTCCTCATATTATCTGCATCTTTTTCCTCCACTAGCTGCTGTTTTTCTTCTGGGAACTTCTGGGATAACTTTAAAAATCGTTGCTTTTTAGCTTGAGGCTTCGTTTTTGTGTTGTTGTGTTCATTCACGAAAAAGAAAACTGGCTGGACCTGGCCGTGTTTTTCCCGCCTTCTGTCACACCACTTTCCACCATGCTTTGATCACGTGCTGCAATGTATCCCGAGCGGGATACATTGTTTAATGTATCACGATCGGGATACATTTGATTTTAGTCAAGGCCACGTGACCAAGAATCAACCAATGGCAGTCCCTGTTTAGTTGAGTGAAAGTCTAGGAACATAACAATAGTGGTTATTTACCTCGCCGCTTCGCGGCCTCGGTAAATATCCAATACTGGCCACCTCCACTTCGGTGAATAATTGTTATTTATTCCTTTTCATTTTGTGTAGTCTAACGCTCGCTATCATGATGAACAAAAACAAGTGGGTAAATACCGTACGAAGCACTTTACATGTGGTATTGTGTTTATCATATACATACTGAGAAATACTCACCAAAAGGTTGTGTTGTAAATTTTGATACGCAAATGATTTCTACCCAATCAGAGGAGTGAACTATGGTTTTCACAGTGAAAAAAATGATACGTCCAATCAGAGTCGCGAACGATGTTTTTTCACACGTGAGAAAAATGACACGTACAATCAGAAGCCACAGAGGTGTGTGACTTTCGCGCCAAAATTTTCGCCTTTTCTTGCAGCTTGCTGAGCGCCGCTTCGCACACATTCGAGGAGAAAAGTTTTTCTCAAAGAGTTTTTTCTCGTTAAAAAAGTGAAAAACATTTCAAAAATGGAGTGGAATAGTTTCGTTTGTTTCACTGTCGATAAAGAAAACTGTGGAGAGCCGACGAAACAACCGTGGGCGGAAGGGGAAAATCAGAACAAGACGTAAGCTTATGTTGTGCTTTTTGTCGGAGCTACTTTATTGAAACCGGCCATTTTACTTAAATTCACTCATTTTCAATTGTACATTCAGAACAAACAGTTAAGATTACTTGTAGTTCATGGATTACCTCATATCCTTACCGTCATTTATGTTTTTAAGAAACGTTTCTACTAAAAAGCTGATACTTCGTTTTCATTGTTATTTCGTGGTGTGTAGCGGCAAATTTAAGCATGTTGGAAAGATTTAAAATAAAAAGGCCACCAAAATGATGAATGTCTCAGTATGTATACAATAAACACAATACCACATGTAAAGTGCTTCGTACGATAATTACCCACTCGTTGTTTTTGTATCAGAAATCTCACTCGTTTGCTGCGCTCACTCGTTCGATTTCTGATACGTCAACAACTCGTGTGTAAACACCGTACGCCAGCACTTTCCATGAAGTATTCTCTATATCTCGAAAGCTTATCAAACCATATTAAAACCGATCGAATGGACATGATTCAGTCAAGCAGGCCTGACAACAATGCTCCTAAAATATAATAATAATCATCATCATCATCAACTTTATTTACCGAGGGTAACACGGGACAGTACTTCAACTGAATAACTAGTGGCCCTCAAACTAAAATTGTAAAACGAAAAATAAGTGACAAAATACATATCGTTAACGAAAAAGAACTATAAATATATGTATGGTTATACTAAAAAGAGTAAAAAACTATATTACAATTATAAAATATCCTTACAATGAACATCTACAAACTATAATCACAATAAGAATACAGCTAGGATGGGTCAAGCGAAAGGAAGGTTGTGAAATGCCGGATTAGCATAAAACTAAGAAATAAAATTAAGTTTCACTTAAGCTAAAATGATCAACG